GCCCGAGCCTCCTGCCCCAGGCTGCGCGGCGGGTTTGGGGAGATCTTTGGAGATGGGCTGCTCCGAGGTCTGCAGCTTCCCGAGGACCTGTGGGTGACTCATGGATGGGCTCTTGCTTTGTGTGCATCAGTATTTCACTTAGTTTCCTAGATCCTGCTGCTACTTCACAGCCCCTGGTGACTGCACTGATGTGCAGCCACCCTCCTGCCTGAACCCGTCCCCAGGCCTGTAGCAGCCGCTCCACGCTGTGGCTGTAGCGAGCTGACTCCTCTGGCGTTCAGCTCCTCTGCTCTTGTAACCACCGTGCCTGCCTAGTGCTGTGCGAAAATACGCACACCGCTTGGTGGGTTGGTGTTACTGACATCCATGAACTTACAAAACTACAGAGAGGAGTATGGTTCTTAAAGGTCAATTTCTGACACATACAGAACACTTGGACACAAAAGATACAGTAAAAGCATGCATGGATGTCACCGACTCCTGTATGTTACTGCTCTGGCCGACTGACTGTCGCGGGGATACAGCAGAGCAAAAGTGATGTGTAGACAACAAAAATTGCTAGTCAGCAGTAGGGACTAGTGTCTGTGCAGGATTCATAACAAAACATGAATGCCTTCATCTCTCATATAGATACAAGTGAAGACAGTTTGTGTCTTTTTCTGCTTTTCCCCACCAATACTTGTATATTCAGGTGTTCTATTAAAAAAAGTTTTTGTTTTTTTTTTTTTAATCACAAGTGTCAGTCATCAGGTGATCTGTCATTCAGGACTACTTCTGTGCATATATTCTCTCTAATAAGGCTTTTAACTGTACATGTTGGTCCCTCTGTGTCTTTATTTTTCATCTTTTAATAATATAACAGTTTTTCTTCTACAGCACATCCCTGTGATATGTTTGATCCTCTTAGCTCAGCACTACTTTCTTACTTGATCCCTGGAAAGAAACAAGTCCAAGTGGTCATCTACAAGAGCTTAGCTTCTTAGCCCATGCACCCCATCAGCTAACTTCTACAGGCTGTGCTTTTAGGTGTGTTGCTGGGAGCTCATAGTTTCCACAAGGCCTTTTAGCTTGGCTGACTGGCTGTGGCACTGCATAAGTTAGAATTGCATTCCCTAGAGTTGGTAAAGCCATTGCCATCCTGTACAGTTTCAGTGACTTTGACTGACATAACTAGAACTGGGCTGTGGCCTAGTGTTCAGGAAGAGGCAGGGTAAGTCAATCAGGCTGTAACTGTTTTTCTTCAGAGAAGTCATATTTTTTTGCTTGCTATGCTGAATGGTTGCATTGCATTGAGTTACAGCAAATGCATAGGAAAAAGAAAAGAACAAGTGAGAAAGGATTTCCATCTGTCTTATGTTGGTTTTGTTTGTCTTTAAATGGCAGATGCTTTCTTTACCTGTCGAAAGAATGTGCTTCTGGCGAAGAGCACGTCCACCCAGATAGAAGACGTCTTTGCTGCCCCCAGAGGAGGATCAGTCCCAGAAGAGCAAGAAGCCCTTCTCCAGCAGTGGTTGGAGGAAGGAGCTGGGAATTTGCCAACCAGTGAGAGTGCTCCAGCAGTGGGGAAAGTATCAGTTACACTCACTAATGACTGGTTAGAAGGTACAGAGCTATTGATGACTAGCCTCAGTGACCTGAATTCGGCTCCAGAAGTCACCCAGCATTCTGGTCAGCAGCTCACAGAGCTGCACGCCTTGGTTTCTTCAGAACCACAAGATCATGCAGTGACTGAACCGTCAAAATTACCAGCAGAGGAGTCAGTGCCTGTAGCAGGTGGTGACCCTTGGGCAGCTGTGGTGCCACAGACGGATCATCAGATAGCTGGCTGTGCTGCTGTCCATGTAGAAGTGCAGAATGAAGACCCAGCTGTGCTGGCCTGGAGTTTAGCGTGTGATGCAGAGACAGTTCCAACAGAGCCCCCAGCCTGGCCTGTTCAGGCTGCGGTACAATTTTGTCCTCTCCCGACAGAGGTACCCTACCATGGTCAGTAGTAGCAGCTCTGAATCTAATGTTCTGTTTGGGATTTGCATGTGTAGTGAATGTGGTCAGGTTATTGTGTCTGGGTTTGCTGTCAGTAGAACATTGATTGTATCTGTCCATGCAGAATTGACAGGATCTGCTAGTGAAAACTGCAAAGCGGGTTTTTGCTGAGGGAGGGCTGGTCACAGCTAGTAGTCTCTAGGCTATTAGACCATCTGATCTGACCATCAATATATATTCATTTCCCAGGAACTCTTCCCAAGTGCTGGCTTTATATAAAAAGCAGCCAAAAGCTGGTCGAGTGTTTCAGTATGCTTGACTCCAGTCTTCTGTTATGCCATCCCCATTGACAGCTATCCAAAGGCATCCAAAAAGAGCACCTGAAAACCAGAGCACAGAGGCTAGAACACCATAGCTTAGAGAATGAGAATGGCTATTTTCTGGTTCCTAGGAGAACAAATGTAGCCAGCATGGCTGTAACCTGGCTTTTTGTCTCTTGCCTGTAGAACTTTTATGGAGAGAATGGGAGGATCTTTCTGTCCAGCCCTGTGTGCTAGAGCAGGTCTCGGAAAACACTCCTCTCTTTGAATTTCGAGTCATGTCTTACAACATCCTTGCCCAGGACCTGGTGGAGCAGGGCCTTGATCTCTACCTACACTGTCATCCAGACATCCTGAACTGGAACTACCGTCTTCCAAATATTTTGCAGGAGATCCAGCACTGGGATCCTGATGTAAGTATGACCAAGCCTTTCCCACATCAGTCTCACCAGAATTTGAATTCCTTGTTTGATCTAAAAGCATTAAAAAAAAAAAAAAGTGTGGAGAGGAAGTCCTAGGAAGATACAACCTGCTTGGTATCTGAACACTGATTCCTCTGAGAGTGTTTGAGGCCTTGTGCATACAGTTTTTTTGGTGTCCATCTTGCTTTGATTGTGTTACTGTAGAAACTAGTCATACTTTGATAGCAGGGCTTAACTTCTTTAAACAGCAAAAGTAGAGGAAGAAGAGAGAATGTGTGTTTGGGGAGGAAAGGGCCGGGTTTACAAGGCAGCACAGGAGGGGAAGCCTGCATAGATGAGACCCATGACTTTCTCTATTCCTTGAGTCCTCTTTATGTGATGAAGGATCTTCTGCCTCATCACCAGAAAACAGAATGATAAGCTAATGTGACCCAGAAAGTTATTGCTCTCTCTCTCTCTCTCTCTGGAAAGTACAGGAGAGAGTTGCAAGTGATGACCTTTCTTGTTGCAGGGTTGGTATGCAAGTGCACTTTTCCACTTTCTTCCTTCCCTAAAATAGGGTAACTAGGAAATACTGGTGGAGTGAGTGAGGTCTCTGCCTCCCTTCCAGGTTCTGTGTCTCCAGGAGGTGCAAGAGAACCATTACTGGGAGCAGCTGGAACCCATGTTCAAGGAGATGGGTATGTCCTGCTTTTGTGTGTCTGTACCTCCAGCTCATGGGACTGGCCAAGCAGTGCTTCCTGCTCAACCTTTCCAAAGCACCCGGTCTTGAGAGAGCTCTTCCTGTTTGTCGAGCGGCTGCCGGCCCTACTTCTGAACTGTCTGCCTAGACCTTTACCCTTTCTTTTGTAACTGATCTTTCTCAGAGTTGACAGGTCAGAGTAACAAAACTGAGAGAGTCCTAGTAGGACAAGGAGAGAGAAAATATCCTCAATGATAAATGGTAAACTGTGATTATTGGGACAGAATTGGGTATAATGCTGTACCCAGATGTAGTAGGAGCCTCTTCTGCTACACAGACTTGCTGAGCTCCCCAGCTGAAGGGGGAAGCCTGAGATAGTGACCAGATAAACCTTTGCTGGTTTCTTTTCAGGCTTCGCATGCTTCTATAAGCGGAGAACTGGGACAAAGACAGATGGCTGTGCAGTGTGCTATAAGCACAGCAGGTTCCAGCTCATCAGCTTCAGCCCCATAGAATACTTCCGGCCCAGCGTGGATGTCCTCAATCGGGATAATGTGGGCTTGGTGCTGCTGCTACAGCCTCTGCTCCCGGAGGGCCTAGACCTGAAGGCAATCAGTCCTTTGTGTGTGGCCAACACTCATATCTTGTTCAATCCTCGGCGGGGAGATATCAAACTGGCCCAGATGGCCTTGCTCCTAGCAGAGATAGACAAGATTGCAAAAACTGCTGAAGGCAGCTACTATCCTGTCATCTTGTGTGGAGACTTGAACTCTGTACCTGATTCTCCACTCTACAAATTCATCCGCAACGGTGAACTTTCCTACCGTGGGATGCCAGCCTGGAAGGTAGGTGCCCGCCAGAACTGGGGTTTGGTATCTTTATTGCATGCTACTAGAGAAATGCATGGCTGCGTTCTTTCTCTCGTGAGGAATTAGTCCAGATATTGAATTCAGTTATTCAGCAGTCTTCCCCCGTGCCTCCAGCACTGCTGGGAAAAGAAGTGGACAAATGTGTGCACATTGATTCCACCACTGCTCTTTTGGTTTCTCTTGAGGCAGACCAGTGCTAATAGACCACTTAATTTCAGGTCCTGGTTCTCCCTTGCTATGGGATTTTTGTGCCTGGGTGACTGGAGGTGTAGGGGAGTACAACTCCACCAGGGCTTACTGAAATTTTATGTGGATGTTTGATCTGAAAACAATTTGAAATGGGCACCTATGCTAGAGTCTTTTGTGGTTACCTGTTACTGCATATCCATGATCAACTACATCATTGGCATTCAAGCTAAATAATCAGTTCAATAATAGCTGCCTGCAAAGTGTCTTGTCAGGTGACTTTTAGCTAATTGTGTCCATCCCCCACAGCTGAAGGTTTATTATATCTGCACCATGTTCTGAGTAGCTTAATTCATGGCTTTCTGTGAGGGCATTCTCCTGTCTTGCTCTTGGCAGGTTATATATGTACATTGTCTATAGCTTGCGAAAGTTCTGCTCTGTGTTGCTGATGTTCCCTTTCCTGTTTCGGGCCTCTTGTAGGTGTCTGGTCAGGAAGACTTTTCCCAGCAGTTGTATTCACGGAAGCTGCTGGCCCCACTGTGGCCGAGCTCACTAGGTGTGACGGACAACTGCCAGTATGTTACCCTGTGCCAGCCAAAGAAACCAGGTGAGCTCCAGTGTGCACTGAGAATGTGCGTTTGCTGAGGATGGACGGTTTGTGAGCCTTACTGCCTCTCTGAGTAGCTTGGGCATGTGTTGCATGATTCTCTTCTATCCATTTCCTTTGTTTATGAATTAAATTTAATTTTTCTGGAGACTATTGCTGTAGCCCAATTTCTGCCATTTTCTTTCTCTAGTCAGGAGCTGAGTGTTCCCTACCAGTACCCATTGCTCTGCGTATCTCTGTCATATTCCCAGACTTACACTTCTGTGCAGTTGTACACCATGTTCAGCAGCCACAGCTTTCAGCTGCAGATGTTTGTGGGAGCGGTTTTGGGCAGTGTTTGCACACCACCATTAGGAAATCATTCCTGAGAGCCCAGTTACAATCATGACTGTTCTCTGCTGTCCTTAGAGAGGATTAAAAAAAGGAGCCCACACTAAATAGCTTTTGTTAGGATCTTGAATATAGAACATACATTCAACCTGATCTCCAGAACTGTTTTTTCTTTTTTAGCAGACATTTCCTTGAGTTGCACACTAACTGATCTGCTCAAAAGTCTCGAACTTGTCATGTCTCAGAGGGAACATTCTTAATTTATTTCATCAAGGTGCCAACCATGACTGTTACATTAGCTGAAGGAACAGCAATAACTGTGTTCTGTTCTTCTGCATTTATGCATCTGTTCCATTCTACATTTAGGTTATTAAGTGATTTCCATTCTCATAGTATCAGAGTGCTTGGACACAAAAACTTCTCTCAAACTGAAGAGATCTAAAGGTCTAAAGAGTATGCAGATGTTCCCTGTAGATGTGACTTTGCTGCAGTTATTTTCTTCATTTAAACTTACATTTTTCTCTGCAGGCAGGCGTAAGTACAGCCGGGACTTCCTGCTCCAGTTTCATTTTTGTGATGTTGCCTGTGAACGACCACCACAGCTGGTCCTCTTGGAAGGTGTGACAGATGCTAAGCCAGGTATTAATGGGAGATTTTTCATCTTATGAGTCTTCTAGCTTGATTTTGCTGAAAACATGAGGCGGAGGTAATGGCTGGTGAGAAAAGGGGAAGGCAGAAGGATGCCTTCAGTGGCTGTGTGATTATTAATGGACTCCATGAGAGTTCAGAGGAATACAATCTTACCACCCTCATACACACTGGCTGTGTTCCTTGAGATGCACTGAGATTCAGCCTCTTGGAGGCTGTTTCTTGTAAAGTGAAATATATATTTTATTTTATTTTATTTTATT